TAAAACTTTAAATTAAATAGAAAAAAACATAAAAAATATATCAGAAGGGTATTTTAGTCTTTTCAGTTTACCGAAGGACCAAAATCACAAGCAAACTACCTCAAATGGACCACCAATCCAAAAACGTCGTGATTTGGACTAAAACCCCAAAAAAATGCATACCACAGGGACCATTTTTGCAATTTTGTCAAAAACTTATACGACCAGGTTAAATTAGTTAAATAACCCGGTTTTGAACCAGGTCTTATAGCCAGCGAGTCCTATGCGAAAAAAGAAATAAAACCCGGTTTTAAAACCGGGTCCTATCAGCCTAAAAAAATACGGTTTTTTATAGAAACCGGGACATGTAATTATATTAGAGACCACAAACCACACTACATAAGGAGATTAGGTCACGGTTCTACCAAACTAAACCGGGTCATATAATGAGATAAGAGCCCGGTTCCAATCCCAAAAACATCGACTAAAATGGCACCAGGTCCTATAAGAAACCTGGTTTTTTTTATCATACTTTCTTTTATGAAAATAACTATTGGGACTTGCATCAAAAAATTATACTATATTCCACTTATCCACCGACAAATTTATTGAGACTTACATCCAAAACACATATTTAATACAAAGAGTATGTTTTGATGAACATGTTATGTTAATGTAGACATTCTAAATAACCAACCATTATAACCATTGATATAAACATGTTTGAGTGTTACAAAAAACTCATTGATTTGGTTATATCTTACTACATAAAAACTTTCAAAAAAGAAATTGTTATCCCATCGAAGTGGGATTGTTCCGTAATCAAGTGTGGCAGCTATCCTTTCATCTTCACTGAAAAACAAACACAACAAATAATCAGTGTTTTGTCTAACATTCAAAACAGTTGAATTTAACAAACAATATTTAAACTAAAAGAATGATGTTATAAAGATTAACAACTAACCTTATATACATTTTAGACAACATAATTCATATAATTATTGAGAAATTCTCTAGCGCCACATCCACCACCACTGTTAGCACAAACACCAACACCACCACCACCATCGACATCTACCACCACCGCAACCACCACGACCAACCACCACCACCTTCTCCCCTTATTCCCTTCTTCCAATCATCTCATTCCCTTATTTCCACCCTAACTGGTTTTCTTTCTTTGGATGTGAACTCCATTTTTTGCGGATGTGAAGAGAACCTTAGAGAATAAGTAGGAGATGCATAGGTTCAAAAAAGAGATGGGACATGACTTCATCATTTCTAGGGTCGAATACATTAATCTCCGACACCAATTTGAAGCTAACGATGACGTTTGTAAAGAGGATAGTGGATTCAAGGCGAAAATGGAAATAATCAGGAAAATCAAACATCGCAATCTTGTCCCAATATTAGGTCACTCTAAAATCGGAGAAGAATGACTTTGGTGGTATACGAGTACATGAAACATGGAAGTTTAGAAGTTGTTCTTCACGATTGAGTCGCCTGCGGTGGCTGTGTTCAAATTCAAAATTGAGGATCAAGAAAGAAGATGACGATTGGGTCAGGGAGGAGGTTAACATCTCTTCACCATAGGTGTATACCTCATATAATCCTCCATTATTTGAAACCCTATGATGTTCTTCTCGATGCAGATTTTGAAGTTATGATTTCAGATTTTGGAATGGCGAGACTTGTGAATACCTTGGGCACGCACTTAAGTGTGAGTACACTCATTGGAACTCCATGATATGTTCACCGGACGACCCCTTCATATTTTTCATAATGACATTTTAAAACCTTAAAACATGAATTCATTCCTTTATAATGCAAAAAAATATCACGAATGATCATTTAAACCAAAACCGGTAAGTTCGTTGGGCTCTAGTGATAATAATCCTTAATAATAAAACAAACTATTTACTCGTATTGTTTGTTATGTGAGAAACTATGCATCGTTAATAAAATTGATAGACATTAACAAACATACCCTCACAATATAGAAATGCATATAAATAAATGTTTTACAAGATCAATATGAATATTCATTCATCATTTTTTTTCCTATGTTGGACCTGGACAAAAATAATTTAGTAGAAAGGGGATTCTTTTTCTTTTCCCGCCAAAAGGCTCCCTATCAATGACTTGGATATGTATTTTATACTCTATCATCTCCACATATCAAAACCTCCCAAACCAATATCCCATATGGGGATCTTTTACAAACAAGTCGCTTCCCTCTTTCAATCTGTTATATTTTGCATGTTTTGTCCCCACAAGCCCAAGATATCAACGGTTCATAACCTTTACTATCTCAAAATATGACGCCCCTGTTCTGCATCCATCCACCCTATGACTCCAAAAGGCTCTAGAAATCTCCCCCATGGATGAATCTTAGATAAAGGGAAAGAGAACAGAATTGGAGAGATGAGCGACCGATAGAGAGGAAGAAATCAAGAGGGGTAGGGAGAAATAAACGCAAAGGGATTAAAGTACAACCATCTGGGTGAGTAATTTGGGGGCGTTTTCATTACAGACCCCAAACTCTTAAGGTCGGCTCTAGTGATGGGTTTGCTAGCTTGCCACTCTCTTGTTATTTTATAGGATTATCATTTGAATACAATTATTAAATTTTAGTTTTATTTGTTATTTGTTTCTTATTTGTTGTTGCAGGGTTATTCCAAGGTTTGGAGAGAAACAAGAAAAAGAAGAAAATGATGTCACCGGTTAACGATTAAGGTGTTTCCATTGTCTTTACTAGTTATTTTTATTATGTAATTATTATAGAACTATTCAGAATCTGAATGAGCATGAAACTAAATTTGTTAAAAGATTGAGTTCTTGATAATATTATCAATGATTTTGATTCTAAAAAAGCTAGAGTATCCATCCATCTCAATCTTGTTGTTACATGCAACAGTTAAATATCATATTGACAAATTTTAATGTGCTTTTCAGGAAAAAATTTGGCCTTAAAAATGTATCGAACAAATTTGCCTTTGTAACCTCTTATGTGTTTTTGCCACATACAGGGCGTATATAACCACAAGTTTCCCTTGAGAAAATGGAAACAAAACTGGACTGAAATACATTGCTATTCTGGAGTGTGTACTGAAAGTTTGTTGCTATTCTGGAGTGGATATTGAAAGTTTGTTGCTATTATGTACTGTGGTTATCATTACAGTATAAGAAACTGGACAGATTTCACACCTATTGGACATATTTTCCCATGCATAGTCAAGTTGACCTATTTTCCCCAACGATTTTGTTCGAGTACTGAAACCGATTTCCGTCCCATTCTCATCCGTACAATACAATATGGGAAATGCTATGCTGCTGTTTTTTTGGATCTACGGAGTTTGTTACTATTGTCAATCTTTGCCACTAAAGCATTTCTACTTTGTTTATTTTTGAAGCTTTGGTGTCAATTGACATCTCATCTAGTCCCACCTTTTGCCTTGTATTTAAATATTAATGGGCTCTGCTGCTGCTGCTGCTGCTGCTGATTCCATGTGCAAATGATTAAAAGTTTGTATTTATGTTTTTGGTGACCACTTGAGTATCCTATATTTGAGTTTTTTACTTGCTTCTACTGCATCATTTAATATCAAATTTGTATTTTCCATTTACATCTTGAAGTTGTATACAAGTTGGTGCTTTGGCCTACTTACACGATTCAAAATTCATTGCTTATTTTGGGAAAATGTAGTTCTTGGAGTCCTTACTCTGACAACATTGTATAGTTTATGCTTTATGTTTTGGTGATGTAACTTCTTTACTCTTTGTACTTATACCACTTCTTCTTGAGTTCCCTGCTAGTTATTATTATAGTATTATTTATAAAAATTTGTTATTATAAAAAAGCTTAGCAACTCCATAACATGATCTTGATGTTGTCATAGCACCCCAAAAGACACCTTATAATTGCTGATAAATGTGTCATATAACCTTATAATTTGTGTGTCACAGACATAAAACGCGGTTGTATTCTAAAAACTGAGACATATAATTGTACGGCTATAAGACACGGTTGTTACATTAGAAACCGATTTATTTTAGTATTAAATATACCCTGGTTGTATGTTGAAAGCCGGGTCATATGAGACTCCCCCTTATAAAACCCGGTTTTTATATAATTCAGCCCGTTTTTTTCCAGAAATGGGTCTTATATACCGTGTCCTATGTGCCCTTTTGTAGTAGTGATGGAATCGTAAATAACCGTTGGCATTTATCATTATACTTCTAATCAATCAGCATTTTTTTTAAATCACTATTTAAGGATCACGCTTGAACAGAGTGTCGTTTTCACTCTATACAGTTCATTAAAAATAAAAGTTTAATACAAAGTTGTAATCATTACGTATTTTTTAAAGTAAAAGTTTACACAAATACAAAGGAAATAAATAATAAAATAAATAATTTAATATATTTTAGGAGATTTGAAACAGGTAGGAAAAAAAACGTTTGTAGAACATTTATTCTGAAATTTAAAAAATAAACTATCATACATATATATACACTCTGACTAAATGTGGATTTTAATTTTAAAAAAATGAAAAATACAAGAAAATGACAACCCGAGAAAAAATAATTCAAAACATCCTAGAAAATGGAATGTATCAAATTAAATGACAACATGATATTTGATAAAAATGATTTTATTTATTAAGTTATATGCACCGTATATGTTAAAGACATCATTCTAAAGGACATCGCTGGCTATTCAAGGTTCTTTGGTTTGTGAACTTTCTCATCAAATTCACAAGACCAACATATGAGAACATGACATTTGGTAAAAATGCTTTTATTTATTAAATTCGATGCACCGCATATGTTAAAGATATAAAACGATGATTATGAACATTCTAAAGGACATATGTATCATCTCAAAAGCTGTGGTGATACACTTTAGTGTAAGGATTAGAATAATTATTCGAGAATCAAACATAATAAACTAACTTGTGGTATTTGCTCATTTATTGTTATCTCAAAGGGAAACCTAGTACAACAACCACACAAACAGACCAGACGTCAAATTATTTAGGTGAAGGCAAGCAATAAAATAAAACTCTATGAAAACAATTTCTTCTTTTATCATGAGCACACACTAACCACAGTATGACTTATTGAAGCAAAACATGTTGATCCCATATCAATTAGTAAGCTTCAGGATGAGCAATGGCATAGGCTTCAAATCCCTTAAAGCTCTTTTTCAATCCTTCTTTCATAAGGTTAATATTATCTTCGGATACTTTATTGTCCCCTTTGCAGTTAAACACCACTGTGTGCTTGTATACGGATCCACCATCACTAGAAGGTAAAAACTTTATATGATGATGCGCAGAATCTACTATGCCCATTAAGACATCACCTTCAAAGATGGTGTAGCTGTAGCTAAAGTTTTTTGTGTCAACGGCATCAACCTTGTGCTTTGAGCTTGTGAATGGAATACCTATGATAAGTTTCAAGTTGAAATCATTTGGTAGAAAATTATTGACATGAAGTTATAAAAATCTAAGCAAAAATATCTAAAAGTTATCTATTAATTTGATGGTGCAATTACTTACCATCACCGTATGTAATGCTCTTGATGGTTCCAGCACCCCCATCACCTTGGATGGTGCTGACGGATTTGTAAGTCTCTGGTTCAACCTTAGGTGCAATTGTGTCGAAGTCATTAAAGACTTTGAAAAGCTTCGGAGCAGGAAGTGAAGAAGTGACCTCGAGGTCTACAGTTACAACGGCCATTATCAAATTATATTTGGAAAAATGAATATGTAAGAAGATGAATGATAGATTAGTTGTAATGAAATATGAGTGAAGATGGTGGTATTTATAGTGTTGTAGGGTTGGAAAAAGAACAGTTAAAGTGATTGATAAGGTGAATAGTCAACAAAATACAAAGATATTTCCGCATTTCATTGTTGACTCATTGCACATGAACGAATTTCTGTTGCAGACAACTACAAAATATAATAACAATAATAATAATAATAATAATAATAATAATAATAATATTATTATTATTATTATTATTATTATGTATGTATGTATGTATGTATGTATTATTCAAGATATATCTGAAAACATATTTACTATCTTATTGGGCCTAATTTAGATATTATTCATTTTTATTGAAAACCCCACTTTTGCTTTCATGGCAATTGTAACTGTGCTATATATTTTTTGGGTTTCGCTATTAGTGCTTGTTTAATCATAGTTGTTCAACCAAAAATGAACTTTAGCCTACAGGTAAGGAGTGACTCTTTCATTTTAGAGGTCATAGATTCAAATCTCGTTTAAGACAGAGGTGGTGATAGTTATGAGTATATTATTTGCTGTTTCAGAAAAAAAAATGTTTTCAGTTCTTCCACAGTAAGTTCAAGTCAAAATCAGCTTATGTTTAAAATTAAATCTGTTATGCAAATTGTTATTTCTTTATTTATTTTTTGTCATTTGTCATTTCGCATCATATATTGACAAGAACATAAATCTCATTGAAATAACTCCTATATTATTTATATGGTTAATGTTGTTTTTATGGAAACTAACTAACCCAACTATCCATTTTAGTTACTTGTGAATCTTTGAAATAACTTTTAAGTTGGTGAATTGAAAATCTCACACATGTGGCTTTAAATTCCAACTTCAGATTTATTTATAATTTATTATTATTATTATTATTTTTTAACAGAAACAGAAACTTTATTAAAAAGGGCCAACAAAAGGCTAGAATTACAAGTTCAAACATTGGCAATTAAACAAATTATGCCAATTTAATTAAGGAAAAATTACAAATCTATCCTATTTTCTTCATTATTTTCATAAATTAGCCAAAAATTTGGAATTTTCCACTTTTAAGTTTTAATCTACGATACCATAGATGAGACAAACAAGCCTGCGAATTCATCAAGCCACCTACGGTATCTTATTGTGTATATAAAAAAAGTTAGATATTTGCCATTTTCTCGAGACACAAAAGAGGAGATGACATAACGTCCTTTGTGATTTCCTCTCTACCCATGTGCGATTCAAACTTTTTTTTTTCTAGGATGATATTTGTGATTGTCAGTACAAGAAACACAAGCATTAGCGGTGACAAGCGTCGCCGCTAAAAGCTAGGTGTGTCGTCGCTAAAGCTTTTTACGCCTAAAAGGTCGCCGTTGTTACCTCACTGCAAACGCTCCATATATCGCCGTTGTTACTTTTTTTCATTTTTCCATTATAGCATTGTACTTTCTAAAAGCTACCAAACTACAAAGTACCAATATATCAAATTATAACCGTACTACATCGTACACAATATTGCATATACATTATAACATTGTACTTTTTTTCATTTTTCCATTATAGCATTGTACTACACTAAACTAACAATTAGCAACGTATAATTATAGTATTCTACTTTACAAATTAAGGTAATGAAGATTATAGCATCCTACTTTTTTTCCATTATAGCATTGTACTTTTCAAATACACTTAAACTAACAATTACCTGTGATTGTTGTGGTGGTTGCTCCTGATCGTACATAGACACAATCGTAGAAGTTTTACGCCTGATGCCTCTGATATGGCCTCGTCAAACACCCAATATTCTTCAAAACAATTTTGTATATCCTTTGTTGTTAGACCGCTGGCTTCAAAAAAAGCTTGATTTTGTTGACTGGTCTCAAGGAGTAAAGCATTTTGTATTTTTAAAAAATGATAAACATCATAAAAGTTAGATTACTAAATACCCCTTGACGATATAAACACTTCTATGAAAATACAAATTAACCACTTACATATTATTGCTCGACTGCAGGACTACTAAATACCCTTTGACGATCGGTATTTGCCTTAGGAAATGCTATGATTCAAGTGATATCCTATTTAACATTAAAAATTAGATTACTTATAATTTAAATAAACAGTTAAATATATCATAACTTACTTCTTTGAAACACGCATTGCTAGACGAGCACGATCCACCTATGTTTACAACTTGTTGTGCACGAACTTCTTTGTTTGATTCCGAACGCTTTAAAATTTTGGGCGTTTGAAAATGTTCGACTGCTTGCACCCAATTTTCACGAGACATGCCCGGGGGGGGGGGGGGTTGGCTAATGCCCTTTGGATATCTATAAGCCCCCCGACATTCTGAAAATAAGTATGCGCTTTACTTTTCCGGCCTCTGTAAATTTTTTATAAAGTCGCATCAATGCTCCGTAACAACTGAGCACGCTCGGGATCCAAGTTAACCTTATCAAAATCAAACTTATTCTACAAATACAAAAAATTTAGTTGAATAAATACAATCACAACTAGACTTAAAATATTATCCAAGTTACCTTTAGATGCACGACTGTGACATTCCTTACTGTGGGGAAACATTGTCCCAACCAGATACGCTCAAACGGATGTTCATCCACATATACCTCCCGATATCATAGGTAAACCAATTACCACACTTCCCGACATGGAATATGTGAGCTCCTTGTCGAAATCCAAATCCACGAGCTTTCCCTCGTTTGTCCGTATCATCTTTGATAGTTGGATGATTTTTGATAGACCACTTATTTTTTTAGGAAGCTCAACTGAAAAATATAATTAAAAATATTAGTCATGATAGCTTATAATAAAAGAATAAAAATAGCTAATAAATATATCATAATAACACTTACCATCCAGTTTGTGTTGTCCACGACCAAAGCCTACTGGAGATGGTGGATCCCCGGCTCCATCACCTCCATGTTCTAGGCCCATAACATCTGTCATCATGTAGAAGAATATCGCCCAACTAAACCCCATATATAGCCTGCAAAATTACAATACGTACAATATAGAAACATAATATGAATAAAAGTTAGCCTGCAAAATTATAAGATGTACAATATAGACAAACAATATGAATAAAAGTTAGACTTCAAATAAAGTTTCTATTACAAAAAAACATATGATTTTTTTAATCATAATGTGCCTCATATACTTTAATGTCTTCTTCATCATTATCATAATCAGAATCGTCATCATCATAATCAATCTCTTCCTCGGAAACATTATCGATTCTACCCGTTGGTGGAGGTACTTCATTCTCATCCTCATCCTCATAATTAAAATTGTTTTGAGCTACATCAACATTCTTTTGAAAGTATTATGAGAAGTCGATAAAAAGTCTAGCATCGGATGAAGAGTTGTTTTGAACTACGTCAACATTTCCTGCCTCCACATTGTCAACATTTTGGTCAGAGTCACTGTAAGCATTTTGGACACGAGCATTATCGAATGGTAGATCCCAAGTACTTCAATGATTAACATGCTCAACGACAACATTATCATTGTTGTTTTGGATTCTTCGAGAAGGCTTACGGATGTAGAACACTTGTTTGGCTTGTGAAGCATATATGAGTTGATCATCTTGGTATGCTTCTTCTTCTGTGTTGATACTGATGAAATTATTATCAGGAATATTTCTCGTATCGAACCACTTGCACCAAAATATTACAGTCGAATAATCATATGGATATTTCACCTCCATAATCTCTTCTAGCTGGACATAATATATCTCTCCATTCTCACGCACCGCTAGAACTCCATAGTTTTTGTATTGTGCATTGTTCATCACGACTAAGTATGATAAACCTAACACCATTGACTATGCACGCAGTGTAAGTATAAATATCCATTTATGAACCCATTGAAAGGGTCGTCAACTCTTTGTGGAATTCTGGAGAGTATTTTTTTTTTCCATCTGAAAAACCTATTAAACATATATTGATGTTTTATGTATTCTTGATTCGTTATATTGATCAAACATATTTGTTTGTTAAATGTTATTACCTTTTGAAGAAACCAGTTGGGAAATTTGGTCTTTTCGTCACTTTCAAGATGGTCAGATTTGAATTTTCTATATTTATGACAAATATATATATATATATATATATATATATATATATATATATATATATATATATATATATATATATATATATAAATATAAATATATATATAACTGATGAATGGAAAAAAGTAACAATAAATAATGAAAGATAGAGATAAGAACACTTACTCGATGTATTGTCTGACTTCTTTACAACTATTCAATATAAACCATTCCATATTATGTTTTTCCCTTAGATCAAGATGTTTGATTTACGCTGTGCTGACCTGTTGACACTTAGACTCAAACATCCAAAACTTTGATTTGTCAATGACAACATCCTCGTTTCTTTCAGGGTGATTGAATTGAGTCTGCACATCTCGAAGGTACATCGAACAAAATGATAAGGCTTCTTCAATAACATAACCTTCAACTATACAACCTTCAAGACTCGCCTTATTTCTAACATAGTTTTTTAGTTTTTTCATATACCTTCCGAACAGATACATCCATCTCATATATACCGGGCCTCTGACAATCGCTTCATCAGGTAAATACAAAACTAAATGAATTATAATGTCAAAAAACATTCGACGATAAATCAACTCTAACTTGCACAAGATTATAATGTCTTCTTTTTCTTTTCTCATATCTGCCACCTTTAGTGTTCTAGAGAAAATTTGCTTGAAAAACATAGAAAGATCTACAATTGGTGTAGAAGTTTCTTTGTCCAATAATGCTCTAAATGTAATCGATATCAAACGTTGCATAAGAATTTGATAGTCATGAGATTTCAACCCAATAATGTTAATATCATTATCTACCACTTTCTTACTGGCAGTTTAACATCTCTAATAAATTGACAAAAGATTTTGAGTTCAGGTTTCTTTAGTGAGTATCTTGCATGTGGTCTACTTAACTTGTTACCCCTTCTTTGCAACC